AAGGTTAGTTTATACATATTGGATCAAGTGTTGAATTTCAAAATTGTTAGTAATAGGTAATTTAAAATTAGAACTAGTCAAATGTACTTAAAGACCTTAAGAATGTTTATTGCGTTTGAAAAAGGAATGTGGCATTCAGAAACATTTGAGTTCAATAAGTACCGTTTCAATATTGGTAGAAATAAGAAGTTTAGATATTTAAATTCTATTCATGCTTAAACCAACATTCTAAAATGAAAACTTGTATGTTATTTTGTATTTTTAGCTATTAATAGCACTTCTTTCTAAATAATATCTGCCTACTTAATCCTGCTACTTCCTATCATAAATTCTTTAAATAATCTAAAGTTCCATCTATATACAGGGTCGTAAAACTTACAAACCACTTAGCGCCCGTTTTTTACTTTCATTGTATCATTATTTAAGTTTTTTTTTTTTTATATATAGATTTGACTACATATATCCATCATAATTAGAAGTAAATGCTTTTAGAAAAGTGTAATATTATTGTTATAATACATACATTATGTGGTCACATTACTTGACTTATATGTAAAACATGGATAATATGATTTTATTTAGGTTTCTAAGTAATTTAAAAATAAGGTTCTTAAAAAATCTGAAACAATTTTGTTCATAATAATTTACACAATACTAAACCTTAACATTTTTCACTTATATTTCTATAAATTTAGTGCACGATCACGTGATCTATTCATATGAAATCCTATATGTTAATATATAATATTTACTATTTTCAATTGAATGCTTTAAGAAATTGCTGAGTTCGGTTGTTTATTTATATTATTGTATTATACAATACGTGTTTGTTGAATTAATTGCAGTGTAATTCCGGCATAGAATAGATTAGCCCTTTCTTTCGTGTGGGTGCCATAAGAGGCGACTAAGGCAATTTAATAGTCGAAGGATGGGCAGCAGCGACCTTTTTAATACATTCTTCTAAGCTTAACTGCGGTTACCAATCCGCCTGCTAAGCGTGGGGACAACTTTCAAAATCTACCTTATGGGGGAGGCCTATGTTCAGCAATGAACAGTCAAGAGCTAATATAATTTAATCTCAACCATTGTTATTAACATTCACAATCGGTACAGTCCACAGTCAATTTATTTGGTCAACTTCCGCGCCCACTGCTCGTTGGATTGTAATACGATTAAGATCACGAAACATGCGATCGAGAATTATGATCGTTCGTTATTACAGCTATATAATTAATTATTTTCACGCAACTATCCTGGCTATGGATAAAATTACACTCTGATGTCCTTGCTTTGTCTGTAGGTCCTGTTTATAAACTATTATTTCTGTGTTATTCAATGCTTACATCCGCTGATACAAAATTCATCATCTATTGGAATAATTATTAATAACTGACAATTTATTTGTTAATTAGCATATTCGATGGTATTTGTTGTCCATTACGCTACTGGATGCAATATGTGAAAAAACCACTCTATAGATTGATTTGAAGAAAATATTAAAATGTGTTCTACCTCTTTTTTTAACTCGGTACCAATGAAGTTATATTTGCTATGATAAAGGAAGACCAACGAGCATTGACGATAGAGACAGAGAGAGAGGATAGAGATTTTTTGCATACAGAGAGAAAAGTGAGTGGGGAGGCCAGGTAAGCGCAGGACCCCTTCTTATGTCCCTAACAATGCTTCATTCTGGTCTGACCGCCGTGCGGATGCGAACTTATTGTTCATCTGTGAAGTTATAACGAAACCCCGTATGGAAAGAGCAGCGCGTCGTTCAATTTCTCTCGAAACTAATTTGAAATTTTTGCCGATCTCAAACAGTTTATGGGGATGATGCTGTGAAGGAAACCGTCCACAAGTGGCTAAAAAAAAATTGATTCAGAGAGGTACCGAGAAAGCGTTCAAGATGACCCACGTTCAGGACGTCCTTCCACTTCACATTCCGACGAAAACGTGGAAAGAATTTATGGGGATATCAGACAGAGAGAGAGAACTGAAGAGCTTAATTTGGGCAAAACCGTGGTCCACGAAATTCTAAGAAACGAACTTCAAATGAAAAAAATTTGCGCCAAGGTCGTTCCGTGAGTTTTTGAGTAAAAATTCCATTACGGTGACCGAACACCCCCCTCCATCATTATTTTGGCCCCGTGTATCTTCTTGTTCCCAAAAACCAAATTGGTACTTAGAGGGGCGGCATTTGGGGGACATTTGAGATAAAAAAAGCTACGACGGGGCAGCTGAGAAACCTACAACCAGAGGACTTTTTCTCACAGTTTGGCACAAGTGCATTATGTCACAGGGGGAGTACTTTGAAGGGGATAAAATTGATTTACCTGAATAATTGTAAAATAAAATTTTTAAAAAACTTTTATACGTACTTTCCGGACAAACCTCGTATCATAGATAATAAATTTAATAAAGAATTTATTAAAATATTGATTAATACCGATCTGGTACAAGTCTACTTGCAATGTATATATTGTTTTTGTTATAAATTATATAATTCTTATATCTTAATTCTTTAAATTGTAGTACTTTTTTTAAATAGTATAACAATTCGTATGATTATAAAGAAACCTGTTTGTTATATGCCAAATTTAAGTAAATTCGGATAACGATTGGAACCGATGTTAAACTTTTAAGAATCGATCCATTTACAAGTGAAGCGTTATTGTTCCATTGAATCGGTCTGTATATTTGATCGAGTCAAATCATAGCACTTGCTAAGTTTAAAGTATGAATCATTACATACAGTAATATGTACAATGATGGTAACGTGTTTGCCTACGTACGTACCATGAAAATCGATTCGAAATTTCGGAGTCGAACGAAACACAAACGAAATGTCAAAATCGTCAAAAATTATGTCAAAATAGTGTACTTTTGGTGGATTGGACTATTTATCGCAGAGTATAGTTAATCAAACGTCATTTTTTGTCTTTAAACTTGATTTTTCTGTGCACGTGTCTTGTCGTAAGTAACAAAGCGTTTGATAAATCAAAAATATTTTTCACGGTAGATCCCCCGATGTTGAGCGTCACGCTCCGTAACGCCATCGTGTTAGAAACTTCAACATTGAGTTTTTGTCGTCTTAACTGTTACTGGTGACTTCATCGCTGACGGTGACCGATGACTCCTGAACGCGTAAACTTGCAATCATCAATATCATGATGTTCCGCTTTTTTTTTTCATAACGATATTTTAGGTTAATTTTTTCGTAGCTATTTTAAATTATGCGTTATTATGTTTAAAAACTATTATTTTTTGGTATAAAAAAAATATTTAACATATTCTCATACATTTACTAGGTTTTTTGCCGTGTGATCCCGGCATAGACCCTTTTCTTTTTCGTGATTGTCATAAGAGGCGAAGAGAGAGAGAACTTAACTAAGAGAACTTAAAGGTTGAGGGATACCCATCCCTAGTAGCGTCCCATTTAAAATACCACCAAAAACCTAACTACTGTTGCCAAACGTGGCAACTATTAGCAAAGCCTCCCTAATATGGAGACCTATTTTCAGCAGTGAACAGTTTCTTTTTCGATGGGTAAAAATGGTATGGTAACCCCGCCTGCGCTAACGGTATACGCTGGCGGAGCACCAGTGAAAAGTGATAGATGAGAATGAAAACAGGCCAGTTACTCCATCATGATGAATTCATCAGGAATTAACCATGACAGTTTCCAGGGAGAACCGCGAGGAGGTCGACCTGGTTGGGTATATTGCTAGCAATGGGATTCTCAGTCTCCATTACTAGCAATCCCTTTTCCCCAGCAGTGAACAATTAGAGGCTGATAACTAGGTTTTCGTTCGTGTGATTAGAAACTTTTCAGTGATAATCACAATATTCTCAATAGTTACTGACACGCCGTGTGATGCTTCACAATGGTTAATATCAGTATAAATTGTTCTTTCAAATTAAGAATTTACTCATAAGTAATCGATAAGAATCCTTACTAATATTATAAATTTGAAAGTGAGTTTGTTTGTTACCTTATAGCACCTTCCAGCTTAACCAATTACTATGAAATTTGGTATATACTGGTGCTATATGGCATGCAGAAGGACGTACGTAAAAATATCTCGGTCTCGCAGACGAAGGCGCAGATAAAAGATAGTTTACTCTGAAAGATAGATTACTTTTTTTTTTAATTAAAATGCTTATTTTTTTTTTGTCACAGAACAAAATAACACTAGTAAGTAGGTACAAAAATACTATAAAATTTTTATTATCTATTATTACATAATTGATAAAGAAATAAAGATAGATATTATCTATACAACTTTATATTTCTACACAGTATAATCATTTCATAGTAAGATAATGTTTGCTGTATATAATAACATTTATTATAGGCTTTTTATTTAGTGTCTGCGTAAATAAATAGGTGACATCGCTTAAGGTGAACTGCAGGACATAATGTTTTTATTCTAGCATAATTAATAAGTAAACTCAAACGTTTCCATTTATCCTGAGTTATATTAATTTAAAACCGTTACGAGTTTTATTGCGTTGCAAATTATGTATCTAAATAATAGAGATGGAATGCGGAAATAAAGTCGAACATGTGATCTAATTGTTGCGTTCGTTTTAAAGGTGAAAATAAGGTTGCGTTTCTTAACATTTATTCTTTTTAAGTTTTAATATTTGCATGCCTAATTATGGCGAAATATGAGGACTTATACTTATTGTAACATCTATACACTTACCATGTTTCTTGTAAATAATTAATAAAAAAAATAAAAAAATGAGAGCTACTTTTGTGGAAAACCAGTTATTTTGATTTAAACTACTGAACCGATTTTGATAAAATTTCTACGGTACCCTTATATAAGTATTGTACATCCTTTTATATAAAAAGAAAAAAATATTTTTATCTAAAAGAATAAGTTATCCAAATCGGTGTATAATTGATGAAATAACAAAAAAAAAATGAAACCTTTTTGAGAATTTCCTTCTTTTTAAGTTCGCTTGATTAAATAACATCAATTTGTCCACAGAACGTAGTGAACAGCCGATATGAACGGGCGGCGACGAGTTCTCATCATTACAGCTTCGCGGATATCAACTTCAGCCCCATAAATACGTCACACAATGTGACCCACGATCGGTAAGAATCTATCTATTTACACGGAAAATTATTCTCTGAATTCTCATACAATTTTCATCTTTCTGCCTTTATTCCTATTATTTGAGGTCGACGTAATTCTATTATACCTATTACAATAATTAGTACAATAATTAGTTCGTTACCCTAAGGTTGTCTTCAAAAAATTACTCTCAGCAATAAGACTGCCTTACTGTACTTATACAATTGTATCGTTATAGTCCCGGCATCGCACGGGTGGACATTTTTACATTTTAAAAAGTGGCCATTAAGGCTGCACACGCGACGGAAGCTTAAAAATGGTATAACTTCTCCCGTTTTCCCAACATTTCCCTTCATTGATCTGCTTCTAATGATCATAGCGTGATGAAAAGTATACTATAACCTGCCCAGGAGTATGAAGAATAATTGTACCAAGTTTCGTTAAAATCCGTCGAGTAGTTTTTGTTGTCTATAACGAACATACAGACAGACAAAAATTTTACTGATTGCATTTTTTGACATCAATATCGATCACTAATTACCCCCTGATAGGTATTTTGGAAATATATTTTATGTACAGAATTGATCTTTCTACAGATTTATTATAAGTATAGATTGTTTTGCTTATTTCCTATATTGTATAATGCAAATCGAGTATTCATCATTTTCCTTCCATACACCTCTATTCGCAGCTATTTACTACGTTTACTCCCATTTTGACAATACCATCTTTCAAACAGTCCATCCATGTCCTTTTAAGTTTTTCTCTATCCTTTTAACCATCCACGTTCATACTTAATACCTTTGTATCAAAATGAAAATATAATATTATTGAAGCGGTTAATACCCGAAAGATTGAAATACTATCTTATGACGTTACGTGAGGAAGTGAGATCGCTAGCTTGGTAAATATGAGTTCTACCTTCTAATCGGCACGCTGTAGTATAGTGCGTGTGACAGGTCACTGAAACCACAAAAAATGGACTAAAACGAAACATTTAATCGTAAGAAAATCTCAATTATAATTATTAGATTGATTTGAAATTCTAAAAATACAATTCTTTAATATCAAAAACTGAGTGCAATATGTCAACTGCCAACCACACCGTACTACAATGCGCAGTATATAATTGCCGTTGATAATGAATTCCACCCATCATAGTTTTTTCTAGATTAACTAGTTTTAATTTTAACTTCGAGATGTGGTAATGTTTTTAAATCTATTTCCACGAAACCTATTTTTTCTCGGTTCGTTCTTTTGAAAGATATGTTGAACCCAGCGAATGGAAATATTTATGATTTGAAGAATGAATGAATGGTAATGAATGTATTTTGATTGTATTTTAAAATTAATAGTATCATCTGTGAAGTACACTTAGGATTGTAAATGAGCTGACGCTTATAGACAAAGCAGCATCATCGACGTCACAGCATATACTACACACACTCATACACATGATATAGAAACATTTTTTATGACTTCACCTAAAGTAGGTATTTGCTGTAATTCAAATAAGGTTCCAGGATTATATTAATTTTTTTTTATTTTTTTTTTTGTACAGTTATTTTACTGTATTCCAGAATAACACTGTCAGTTCCAAATTTAAATAATTTTTGAACTGATAGTGCTATTTACTGCGCACGCAGTTAACCAACGTAATACGTAAAGTGGTTATTAGCTATATTTTTACCTAATCGAATAACACAACATAGTAAGCCAAAAAACGTAGACGTTTGTGGTACAGTTGGCACATATCCAAAGTGTTTATACACACTTTATATTTGCGAAACATCTGATGACGTAAAATTGTTGTACTTTTTACTGAGAATACATACAATTATGTAGATACATATTGGAGTGAATACTAAAGCACCGTTCTAAAATTAAATTCCTACAACTTATTTCTATATTTGTAACATTTAAGTGTGTATTTCATATTTCAGCACAATTGTTATGCTAAGGAGCAATATAATTTTTTTTTATTAGAATTACAACAGAACTTATTTTCATTTAATTCTCTATTGTTCATACCATATACATACTTGTGCTAAATTATCAAAATTGTAAATTCAGAACTAAATTTATGGACTGATACATCAGAGTCGACCCCAGAAATGTAGTTTTCCTGTTGTATTATCGAGTCTTCGCAAATTTTCATAAATATACCTGTTTGAATTTGTATATGCGCATACGCATCGTTTCTTGTGTACTGCGAGATGGGTCACTCGGTCACCTTCATGTATGCCATAGTATGTCAACTTGACGACCTTGTTTGCTATTTATGTAATAAAAATATTGTATCTGTCATGATAAAATGTTAAAATTAATTATCACCTTTTAAATTAATTTTATTAATGTAAGTTCATTAATACAACTAGGATCAAAAAGTTCGTTTTTTTTTGTTGGTTTCGTAACGAGATTTCTAATAGAAGGAGAATGTTAGTTTTTTTGTTTTGGATATGTTATGCGATTACATCGCAAGTCCTGAATCGATTTCGATAATTCCTTCTGAATCGATGGGTCGTACGACCACAACAGTCTTATATTAAACATAACTTTCTCGCCTTCTCATGTATTATACTAGTAAGGATTAGATATTTGATCAGACGATTAAAACCATGTATATCATCATCATCTCAGTCATTATCCTGAACATAGGCCTCTCACATATTCATAAAAGAAAGGTTCTTGGTGGAGACGTCGTACGACCGAACGCAGTGTAGGAGGACGACCCCCTAGGTCACCACCTGGTTACCTCAAATTCATTACAGGGATGAAGCAGAAGATTCTAGACCGTTCTTTACGACAGTCATGGGGAAGGCCTAACCATGAATATAATAATAGTTATTTTCTGTATGAGATAAACATGATCGATGTTTGGAAACATGATTTGTATGAACTAATCGGGGGTATTGGTTACGGTTAACGGTTATTAATGGCAAATAAATAGGAATGAGGGTGACGGTTGCGACGAGATGATTGCTGCTTTGCTCAGTTTGACCGCTATATTTGTCTTACCATTATGGAAATCCCAGTAGTTTTACTTTTTTACTTGCTTTTTGCCCGCTACTTCATACGCATGAATTTGAAAGGTAACAAAACCAATGAAATATACTACTTCTGAATAGCGTATTAATATAGCGTAATAAAACATGTACTATTTTTTAAGTTAGACCTTCAGGAATGCAAAGATGAAAGCTGCATCCAATCTGGTGCAGTTTTTACCTCATGCCAAAACAAACATACAGACAGACAAACACGCATGCATTCCGGAAATTATTGTTTTGGCTTCTATTGTTTTTATTAAGTCTGATATATTTTTTTCTTAAATATTGTCATTTACGTCATCGTGAATTTTATATTATGTTTTCATCTAGTTTACGTAGTCATACGGTATCTACTTTCAAAATCCACGCGTGCGAAGTTACGGGTCGAAACTAGTATATACCATTAGGTGATACCGTTAGATATATTACAGAATTTTAAAATAATAAATGTTTATTGTTTTTACAATGATTATAAAAATATCTCGCATATAAATTAAAAAAAAATTAATACATTAATCCAGGTCGTTCCGGATTGGTAGCCCGACGTACAGCGCCTGTTCAACCGACAGCTCGTTCGCGGAGCAGGCGTTGGCGGACACTAGTGCGCTGCTCGAGAGGGACCCCAGTGGTGAGCACCTACCCTCCAGGCTGTACAAAATGGCCGGAGAATATTGGAAGTAAGTTTTATAGTTTTTATTTATTTTTTCTAAAACTGTGGTTGGGTTAACATTCCGTTAACCGGGGGGAGATATATCGATCACCGATACCCCCCTAGAAACCGTATGGTTACTTTTTGAAATACTCGCCACTATGGTAAATTGGCCTGACTTCATTGGAAAATGAAGTCGATCAGTTTACCAATGGAGATTGGTGTGGTGGGGCACCACTGAAGAATGAACTCAGGTGTATGTCAGTGTATATTATTAACATAGGTGAACAAGCCATTTCATGTTCAGCCATTGAAATAAAAAAAAACTTCGGCCTGCCAGTGAGGAAATTATTAGATAGATATTAACTAGTAGGAATTAGTAATTCCATACTGACCTGGCTTTATTTTCACCTATCATTTTTCAGTGGTACTTCGCCAGCGTAAATCTATATCGCAGGGTTTGTCTACTGCCCACTTTGGGAATAAATTATTTTTTAACGCCCCCATTTTTTGACCTACTAAATCACTATTACTTCAAATTCAACATATCCCCCCCTCCCCTCCAAGCCTCTACACAACGCCCCCATTTTTTTCTGGGGCTCTTGTCGCCCCCCTTTAGGCCTGCAGCTGCTATACCGTAAGCGGTATGTGGATTGACCATCTCATAACTCGTAAAAAGAAGATACGTTCCTCATAATGATATTTGGTCACTGTAGTTTATGAACACTTGGAACTTCAGTGTTAATGGCACGTGCGCGTTGCAGAGCCTGAAATTCTCTGCTTCAAAATACCAACCTAATTGAAACTTTACATTCTGTTTTTTTTTTTTTTTTAAAAGTTCCTTAAATTAAAATGCTTAGTCTATTATAACTTACTCTGATGATTATGAAATTAATAAAGCTCAGACTAACACAAATGTACAAGATTGTAGGGTGGAATATGGCAATGAAATTACAGGGTAAAGAGGTATAACACCTTAATTCTCAGGAATTTATTTTATTTAATACCTAGACAGAAAACTAATAACATGCGAGATATTATAATACAGCTCTCAAGCAAAATATATGTATGCACATTAAGGACGGTCATAAAATCTGCTTTTAAAGAAAATGGTGATAAAGATTTTTTGTCATTAAATAAATTTAAAGTTTTGTTTCGCAAAAAAAACCGACTTTAATCGTGGCAGAACTATTTTGATTTAAAAAATAAACTATTTAACCGATTTTGATAAAATTTCTATGGCATCAATCTATATTTCTTTACAAAAAAAAAAATCCAAATAGTTTAAAAAATAACTAAAACTAAAAACCTCTGAGACAGAAAACATAAAAAAGTACAATGAGTTGAGTACTTACTTCTTTTTTGAAGTTGGTTGCAAATCAACAACAAAGGTTATCTATCTGTACATAATTATTTCGTGGTTTGGCGCCAAATTGTCCGTTAATCTTATTTTCTTAAATGAAGGTAAATTAAAAAAAGTGTCAAATTATACAGATCTTACAATTGCTACTTAAACTTACAATTACGGACTTATTAGTGAAATAACATTATTTTTAATTTGATTTGTGATTGTTTAAGTGTTTTATTATGTTTGTTACTGTTTATTTATAAATACAAATATGGCGAAAGTTGTAACTTGTGTGGACGTAGAAACGACTGAAAATGTATTGACATTGAGGTATGTTGAAAGTTAAAATATCTGTCCTAGTGCATTAATTTTAATTTTTATTATCTAGTTAGACTTTTATCTGTTATTTTGTATACATAGATTTCAAAAGTAATAAAATTAATCAAATAGACCGCTTTTAAATGGCATATTAAGATAAAATATATGTAACAGATTTTATGTTACACCTTCAGGAATACAATAATGAAAGTCATAACCAATTTGATACAGTAGTTTATTCGTGATGTGGAAACAAACATACAGAAAGACAGACAACCTTTCTAAAAATTATTGTTTTATAAATGTAAAACATTTCTAAAACAATAATTCCCTCAGTTGCTCTTATTAAGACAAGTATTAATTTTTTTTAAATAGCTCCCTTGTCAGACATCGTGTACTTACAATTTTAAGATATTAGTAAGCAGTTAAATAGGGTGCAATTTATTATAAAATATTGTATTGTATAAGTAAATTATATTATATACAAGTTTACGAGTCATAGGGATGACATATAAACTGTCCGTAAAAAAAGTATCTAAATAACAGTGAATGTTGTTTCAAAATGTTTTTTTTTTATACAACATAGAATGGCAAACAAGCTGACGGTCCACCTGATGGAAAGTGGTAACCGTCGCCTATAGACATGAGCAGTACCATGGACATAACAGAGTATAGTGTTTCGCCCATGATACCCCCCATGCGTTGCCATTCCTGAGGACTCAGGTGTTATTCCTCTGTACCCAGTAAATTCAGTGTGGTATGGTTTAGGAGAAGTTAGATGTAACAATAAGATCATCACGATAGTACCATTATGTGGTAAGCAGAGAGTACCACGTGCCAAAAACCGTCTGTTCTCATATACGACTCTTGTTTTATTCAATTCCAAAACTCGTTTCAATCAAAAAGCTTGCTCCGAAAGATTCTTGATATCTGCTTGGGATACGATTTATTCAATAGATAGATAAGAATATATGTCTATATAATCTGTGATTGGAATGCTAATATTTATGGTGACGATTACCATTTTCAACCGACTTCAAAAAGAAGGAGGTTTTAATTCGAATCTAAATTTAAATCTATTTTAATCTAAAATTTAAATTTCTAAAAGAATTTAAAAATGTATCGTTGATTCTCATATTCAGTATCTCAGTTGAAATACTAAAAATACTAAAAAGCACGAGACAGGGACCAGGGCAGTGGCAATAATGTAATGCGCTATATTTATACGAACGTTTGCATGCAAATGTCATACTGAAGCGCGAACTCGTGCGTCCAGTGCAACTGTTTCCATATGCATTTTACTGCGACAGTTTTTGTACTGCACTATTTTAAAGAATAGTTTATTAGGTATATCAAGTTCATTGTGCAAGTATTGTTATTTTGCATAACATCTATTGCAGTTTCTTATATATTAATATATTTATTTCACTTACAACTTTAAGATTATTTTAATTATTGTTCTGTTGAACATAAACTAACATACATAAAGACGTATGGAGTTATAGACCCCCAATAAACAACTAGTGTCTTTTTTACTTTCAAATTATGAATTTGGCTTGATAGGGAGAAACCAAATATTTTTAGCAGTTAAAATATGTATCATATTTTTTTGATTAAAGGTTTAATGTTATAATTTAAGAGTTGATTTCACAAAAAAACTCGGGCTTCAGTAATAGCGTAACCAGATATTTTAATTTACAAACTAAAAACTGTGTCAATTTTGATAAAATTCATATGGGACCAATCTGAAATTTTATCCTTTAAGTAGAAAAAATAATTTTCCAAATCTGTTTTTAAAGTTACGAAGTAAAAGACTAAAAAACATAAAACAGAAATGAGGACCTCTTTTTTTGAAGTAAGTTGAAAATTTCACACCTCGAACGTGTTTAAAAGCAATCGTGTTAATGCCTAAGCTATTTATCCTTTTCGAGGTACAATAGTTTCGGCCTTATAGTGACTCATTAATTATATATAGATGTAGCTACATTTAGTTCACACGCCTGAAATTTCCTTGTCAATGTTAGTACGTGGTAAGGTGTGTAGTGCGATGCCGAGTGTTTGTGTTCTGCTCCGAATAAGCGGGCAGTCATGTATGAAGAGCAGAGATATACTTACTCCTATACTGTGAGGTACTTGATATTATATCATTAATAAAACCATTTGTTATTAGGTAATGTTAATTATATATATTTAATTACCGTTTACACAATCATATAACCAATAATGTTTATTTATAAGTTTCCCAGTAATATGTCTAATATTTGTATTCGAAGCTAAGCATCTAATTTGTCGATCAATATGCACTGTTCAATATTGGCCTCATCAGTAGATTGTCATAATGGTATTGAGCCACCTGCATCCATTTAGTTAGTCTCCATAATTGGAACTGCCGTGCGATCCCGGCATAGAATGGGCCACCTATTCTTGGCCCAAGGGTGCGACTAAGGGAACTTAATGGTCAAAGGATGTGCACTGTTTTCAAAATTTAACAAAGCCTAATGCTGTTGATAACTCACCTGCAAAGCGTGGCAACTACTGGCAAAACTCCTCTTATGAGGAAGGTCTATGTTCAGGAATAAGCAGTTAACGGCTGATATAATATATATTTCCTTATAGTCAAGGATAACAAAAATGTTATATTAATAAATAAATGACTATGGTGCGAGTTGTTGAAATAATATAATATTACATGTTTTAACAATACCAGTTATATATCTTAATACCAATTCAGACATTTTAGATAGAAACAATTGAGGGTTAACACCTTATCAAATACTTTACACGTTCACAGTTTTTTCGACGTGTAAGTCGATAGAAACCAAGCAAAATATACCTTATATGTTAATGTAAAAACTACCGCTTTAACTAACGTGTAATTTGGAACCATTAGAGACCCTTAATCTCGAAACTACAAAATATATCTCTTATAGTCCTATCCTAGACATTTAAAAAGATCTGAACAAATGTTTTTAGTAATATTTTAGCATTAAATTTTTAGACACATATATATGTGCTACAAAGATTGAACAGTATATGTTTTTTTTGTTTAATTAACAGTTTATTTATTATGAATGGAACGCTAGCGCTTCTGCCTTGAGAGGGAATTGATGGCGTTGACAGAAACGACACAGTTATTTTTTGAATAATGTGGCATATATATATATATATATATATATATATATATATATATATATATATATATATATATATATTGTTTATGGTTCCAATAAATACAAATACAAATTGGCCCAACCGGGAATTGAATCTAGGACCTCACTTACACAAAACAATACTAGGTGTGTCTCGTTTTAGCTTATGACAATATTATATAAAGAACAAATATTTTAGCATTAAATTTTTAAAAGACAAGTAACATTCCTTTCTTTTCACAAAGATTGAACAGTAAATGTTGCGTTAGTTTGGCCTTTTGGAGATGATGGATGAAAGAAGAGTTACAAAAAAGATTTTTACATTGAGGCAAAATTATTTTTTGTAGTTATTAGAGTTGATGGTAAAATGTAAAAGTTGTTTGAATTATTAAATAAATAAATATATATATATGTCTTGTTTACGTTGTTTTAAAGTATCCTAAAAACCAACTCAGTATAAATATGAGTGATATTATATGTAACCCTGTGAACAGTTTTAATATTTCATATAAAAAGATATATGTCACATGTGTCTATAGCCCTTTCGTATTTCTTTGATATGGCAATATAAGAGGTGTTCCAAGGGCATCATATTGTGTTCTGTGATATTTACATTCCGCCAGATGATAGCTTGTTGGCCACTTCAAGTCATATAAAAGAGTTTTGATACATGTCTGCAACAGCAATTAAATTGTTTTATATATTATTTTTGCAGCAAATACCCCAAAACTGATTACACGTATTCGCCGCTGTCAAAAGACCGCGTGGAGCTCGCGCCCGGTCAAGTGGCCGTCCCGAACATGTCGCGGCGGTCGCTGTCGCAGTTCCGGATACAGGGGCCGAATACGTCCGTGGACGAGATGGACCGACTGACTGGCACCGCTATCTGGAGATCGAGCACGGTCAGGAAACGGTATACGGTGAGTGTTCTTAAGTGACAATGTAATCTAAGCCTAGACAAGGCTCTCTAGATAAGTGGCAAACAAATCTACTGATAGATTCGTTATCACAAAAATAAGAAAGAACGAGATGCCTAACGTTGATGTGTCGTTTTGTTTTATGCATCCGGTAGCGATAGCATATCTATCGATGAATTTATGTACCCCTTGAGCGGTAGACATGCACCGTCTAGACATGCATCGTCTCTGCAGATGTCTGAAATTAAGAACAAACTATGCAAATATATTAGGTTGAAATATTTTTTTCTTTGTAACAGATCCATCCAGCAGGTTTTGAATTATCTCTCAGCTATTTGAATCAAGTGTTTTCCAGTTACACCATGGATGGATTACTTTATACGTTATGTCTGATCTTAGGCGCCATCTACCAATTTTGTAAGCTATCTTTTGGCATGTGCTATCCACCACGTTTAGTGACACCTGGTTAAATATATTTAGTTTTTTTTTCTATACCACGAAGATGGTAAACAATCATACAGTTTGTTTGATGGTAAACGGTCACTGTAGCATATGGAGGCCTGCAGCACTAGGGGTGCCACGTGGTTGTTGCCGACTCTGAAGAAATCTTAATACATCCTTTTTGAAGAATCTTATACTGTGTTTCCAGGGGAAACCTCAGTGGGCAGCTCATTCCACAGTCTGAGCGTTTTTGTGAAAAAAAAAAACTCCTCTGTATGTGTAACAAAGTAAATTTAAAGTTGATAATTTCTGTTTTCAGTCGGTGGACAGTTCGGACGACGAAAGTGCCTTTTACCGCGGCAACGGCGGCTACCCCCCGGCGGAGCAGCGGTGGCTGATCACACGGTTCCTCCTCGCGGTCATCACTACCATCACCACCACTGTGAGCAGTACGTACAGGAAGATCGTTGGTCCTTCGCACCGGTACCCGTACACAGACAGGCGGCCGGCTAAAGGTAATTAAATTGTTCTCATGTTGCTTTGTGTAAATGCAAAGTGCGTTGTGGATTTGCCATTAAATCTTCATTGGAAGGGTTGAAATATGGCAATAATTGTTCACATGACAAAATAATGTTACATTCTATTTTTTATTTTATACTAGAATGTTACCTGTGGCTTCGTCCATGTAACTGGGATATGTTTACTGGCCAGGATAAAAAGTACCCTATATCGTTTTCCATTCTATATAATACATTAAATTTGGTAAAGTTAACCGTGATTGGTTATGGTTTTAAGACGGTAAAAGGCAACAAACAAATTCACTTTCATATTTATAAAATATTATAATTATATGGATATAAAAATTTTGTCCTAAAAATATCTCTGTAATAGCTATGTTGATTATAAAGAGATACACTATTTCAAAACATTATTTTTTTTGTTCCAGCTGGCTTCGTGTCACAAGCGGCCTCTGTAGCGGCAGCGCCGTTCTATTGGATTTACACTATGATAAAATCAATGGTGACCACCACTGTGACCACCGTTACTGAAACTGTAAGTAATAAAACACTGGTGTTTTATTATATTTTTTTAAAGAATTGACGAGTTTAATACACGTGCTTACAAATCGGTCGGTTTTCTCTATTGATTTAGTACTGATTTGCAGGACAGATATATTTAATCTATATTAGGTTTTAATTTCTCATAAGCCCGTTACATTTTTTTTTTATTTGGGCGAAGAAAAAGGAATCTGATGTAATATATTGTGATAATATATTTTTTATATTTACTTTATGTAATAAAACTTAATTTAAGTTTAATTGATTGCATCACCAATTAACCTCGAGGTTATTATAATACAATATAAAATTTTACTGTAATATGCAACTTTATTGACATACTGAGCTGATTATTGTGATAATTATAATTATTAAAACGCTACTGTAACTGCGTATTTTTTAATCGGAAGTATTAAATATATTAATAGTCACAAAATACAACTGTCAATTTATTCTGTATATGGCAACACCCAGTGGATTATAAATCAGCATAACAACTCATTAAAATTCCTCTTCTGAGTCGCCTTCGAAAGCTACTTTAATCTCTCTGTTCAAACTTCTATAATATAGGATCTTGTTTCATATTTTCCCACTCTGAATAAGACTGATATAGAGTGGTAACTTCAGAGTCGCCAGACTGGATATTATTTTCGCAATTTTGGGTAAAAAATTCTAATATCACACTTTAAATGTGAAGAAATCGTATTAATTTGGAAAAAAAAATTGAATTTGTGTAAAAATTAAAAAATCACATCTGTCAACTCTCGGTAATTTTATTCATATTTCATTGCCGTAAGAAATCTCAATCCTCGGCAGTAACAGATTCACCAGTAAGCCGTAACAGCCACAGTCTATTAACAGGCGCTGATATTTTGCATAAAGTCATTTTACACTTAATCTTTAATACATTCATTCAATCACTTTGCAATACCTACTTACCGAAATATACATAAATGCATATAAATAGGTACCAGGCAGTATGGTCTAAATGACCTTAACCTCCACTTCATGAAATAATTAATTTTTTATAATTATGTTTTCAGATAACCCCAAATCATGTCAGCCAGAGCGAAAAGTACACTTCACACAGCTCCCATGTGAAAACTGTGGTCAAACAACGAAGGTGGCCCTGGTTCCTACTTCTGCTGTTACCTCTCCTTGCATATGGCTGTAAGTAAAAATATTGTTTTGTCTATTCTTATAAAATTATTCGAAATTTACTTATGTTTATTCATAGATATTAGACCAAAATTTGAAAATAGAAGAGTGGCCAGTATTAATATTGTATTTCATCGATAAATCATAGTGCTCGTGTGTTTTATTTCATTTGCGGTTTTAGTTATAGAAGCAATTTATTTAGTCTAAGACACCTGATAATAGACTGATATCGTTAAATTAAATTATTACGCAAGAAACAAAAAATATATGTTTATTTAACAACTTAGTTATCAAAAGACAATGCAAGAGAGACTTGTATATTTTATTATATTCGTAGTGTTTATTTATTTCTATAGGCAACAATTATCATAACTGCAGTTTGTTTCAATAGAACTTAATGATGAATTTCTTTGTCGATATTTTGTATTTATTGCATTGTAGAATTAGGTTTTATTATAAAAAAATTGTATTTAATGATTCCTACGATACAAGTCTAGGGCTTAGTGCAGATATCGCTGTTAAAGTGTGTTGCCTTATTCAAGTATATAAAATGAATATATAAATTAAATGTAAACTACGTTTTGTTAAAATTATCATAAACAAAAAAAAACTGAAAAATGACATTAATAACAAATTGAAAAATTCATTCAATTTATCGATTTGTTTAAACTACTATTGGAAATGAAATTTTGTTTTTTAAAAAATATAACCATAATTTAAATAAGTTATGGTACTAATATTGATTAATGGTTGCGTCAACTATTTTTTTGCTTAAATTTTTATTAAATTCTATTGAAATAGACGATATTATGTAGCTTGTATTCCAATATTGGTAATATAAAAAACTTTATATGTATATATATGTCTTATATATATTAGTAATATAAGAAAACATGTAATATTAATAATTTATTTCAGCCCACTATACATATGAAAATTGGGATCACATGGTTATGCCAAATTTAACAGATTTCCAATTAGATTTGTCAGAGTTCTCACCGTTGAGACTGACCAATTTCACGCTGCCGAATATAACGAACCTGAGCGTTTTTCCAAATCTAACATTGCCGGATATAAATATAACTCTGCCAGACATAAGGGATAATTTGCCAGAGATGTCGAAAACGTATAAAGAGTACAAAGATATTGTCCAGAACAGAATGGCGGATGCGTCTGATTATGCCAAAATTGTGATGGACAGTTGCTACGAGGAAATGCGACGGTTTTGGCGCGGCGTTATAGGATGATCAATAATATATATCGTTTTATATATTAGTACAATAGATTATATGTTTGCATTTAGAAAAAATAATGAAATTTCCTTTACCGTAAGATTTCAAATGATAATGTTTAAAAAGATTATTTATATAATTGAATTAATTTATTTTTGAGAGATTATTCTCATGCAATATACAATAAAGGGTGCATTAGTACACATCGAAATAAAAAAAAAAGTATTGTTTATGTAAACTATTTGATATTCACAGAGGTTTTAATATTTATTTTCAAATATTTAATTTTATTTATAATTTATTTTAAGCGAGCAGTGTGAATTGAATGATATATTTTTATTTTATTTTAATATTTTTTTAATATTTTCTAAATGCGAGCATATTTATAAAGTCTCTCACGAAATTTGCGGTTAAGCATTAAATCAGTTTATTCGATATAAACATAAAGTTTAAACAGGTTGTACATTTTTACTCATTATTAAATTAATTACAATTTTTTTGCATTAGCTAATGCATTAAGCAATACTCAAATAGCAAAATTGCTTTACAAATCGTCACTTGTTTGTGAGAGCTTTAATAAATACTCTCTTATGTACTTAAATTTATACGCATTTTGTTTACAAATAATAATATTCCTTTTAACAAGAGATTTATTATATTTAGTTCTGTTATCCATAAGGACGGAACGTTCGATCTAGTGATTTTAAATACATTTATATTTGATAATAATTTTCTTTCATATGTGTAAAGATTGTTGCAGAATATACTCTAGTATAGAACCGTCCTTATGTATAAATAGTTTATAAAATTAGATACCTCGCACTTCGATCAATAATAATTAGATTCTCAGTTAACCGCGTCTTAAAAACGTCTACTTAAAATACAAATATGCAAGTGCTGTTTTGCATATTTTGTTCCTTGTTTAACATTACTATCAAAATATGTTTGTCCTTATTATCTATGTGATTAAATTGGTGCCGTTGAATCTAAGTATTATTGATCAATGGGGCACCATTTATTATAAATATAATAAATCAGTCGCAATTAATATATAAAGCGTATATAATTATTTTTATGAATTTTATATTAAATGTCTAATCAGTCCTTGATTACAGAATGGCATACCTTTTTTTTTTTTTTTTTTTTTAAGTATAATTAAGAAAGATTGTTTAATTATTTAATTAATATTGTACTGTATATCTGTTATGAATAATTTTATGATATAATTTATTATGACATTCATCATCACATCATTCCTATTCAGATTTTTATTTTAATTACCTATTATGTATATAATAAACAGAATTAGAAAATATTGTCCTTTGCCTTCTATAGTATCATTCAAATCTTGACAAATCGTAAAAAAATATAAATACATCCATAAATATGAACTACGATTTATACTGGAACGAGACTCGGTATATAGGGAATAAAATATATGACTGTGCTCATAAAATAATCTGTAATTAATTTAAAATGTGTTTAAAATACAGTAAATCAAAATTTCCATCAAAGTACCAAAGTACAGTGTTCGTTGCTTATAACATATAGTTATCTGAATAATGTAAAAATCATACACGTACCTGACATGTATGAAACTCAAAGTTGTTAGGTTAGCTCCACATTCTGTATTAAAGGTCAGAGGCCAGAAGGAAACGTCGAATGATGCTTTCATCTCCCGTATTACATTTGTAGGTTGATACCTACGACGACGAGTTAAGCAATTAAAAAATGTAAATACTTGTTTATGATTTATTAACGATACTTTATCGTTTAACAGTGATATATTTTCTTTTACAAATCATGCAGTGAATTTAAACTTTTATTTAATTGCTTTTACGAATTGTTATTATTAACGACTTATGTACAGATCATGTACAGTGTAAGGATGACAATATTTTCTAATGTTGTGTTTTGACTATGCTTTAATTCAAGCTGTTATCCACTCGGTGGATTTCTCCTCAACAATGTACCTTAAAAACGTGGTAAACGTGCCATTTTATGTTCAAATAATTATATTTAATTGATTTTTTTTTTAATTCGATATAAATTTTACAATTGTGTTCAAAATATTTTGAAAGTAACCACTAGTCATATTCTTTTTCATTTTTAATTAAAAATATTGTTTCAAAGTCTGCGTTCGATTCTAATCATGTTTCTAATTTCGACTTTAATTGTACGCTTGGGTAATATAATGGTTCGGGTTATTTTAATTTATTAAGTAAATATAAGTTTAAAAGGGGTCACTCATAATTTACGTCACACGTTAAAATGTGGAGGGGGTTGACGAAGTGTGATTGTGGGTTGAAATGTAGGACAATTTCGTGACGACTCATTTTGAAATCTAATTTATCTAAGTATTGAAACACGAAATTTAAACTAGCAACAAAAAACTTTAAAATATTTTCAACTATATCTGTATGAGCATAATGTTTAAATTGTTTTGTTGGTGAGTTTACATTGGCTCTACTAGTGTTAAGCACTTACCGCCTAAGAGCCCTTTGAAAATGCTGTAACAAATATGTGACGTCGCACTAGGAAAGAAGAGTCTCACAAATCTGAGCAACTACGACGAGGACCGGGGATGGTCAAAAATTTTGAAATTCATGTGACGTGGCTTATGAATGGCCCAAAAATAAGAAAAAATAAGTTAGGTATTAAAAATTTGTATTTGTCACAAACCAAAAATGTGTTAACCCATACTTTGTTTTGAAACTTTCGGTATTATGAAAACTAATTTATTTTATGTATGGGTTTAGGAGTAACTGTAGTGTTTAAGTCAATTTTGTAATAACAACGGGCCCAACGATTCGATGTCGATAACGATGTACCTAATTTATGTTTTCAATATATTAATTTATAATATTCATGTGCAATTAACAATGAAAATCGTACAAATGTATGCATCCAGACTAATTTAAGATTTTTATTCAATTTAGGGCTTTTACAAACTAACGACACTTTGCTAATCGAAGACGAACCAACTCCGCAAACTGTCGCTCGTCTGTAAGAGCTCTAAAGCTTAATATTTATTTTTGTCATCAATGCTGATATTTTGATTTCATTATATTTTTCTACTATGCAACACATGTCTTTCTCTCGCATCCGTTCCCACATAATTCTTCCCTGTAACCAAATTATTACAATTATATCTCGGGGAAGGATAGAGGTTCAAACATCACCTATAAGAAAGTGGACGTACTGTGGCACGCTACACTTTTAGGTGAGTGGATATTAGTTTTTTTCATTGTCATATCACTCTGTCCTTCCCTGTTATTTGTTGTTAATTATCGTATGTGATTTTTTTTTTTATTTTAAATATTAAAAGCATTGTGTGGGAAGGACAGAGAAGTAAAGAACTTATATAATATAAGTAATTTTATTTCCAGGCTACAACTACTCGGACTACATTCTACCTCAAGAGAAACCAGTAATAGACACTTACAAGTCGCCTCAAATAGTACAGGATGTGGATCTGTCGAAGCGAATGGCGGCGCTCGAGGACTGGGCAGTCAACGTTGATTCTAAGCTGAAGCTGTTCGATCACAAACTGTCTAAATTTGATAATTTAGAAGCCCAAATAGAACAGTACTCTTTAAAACATTTGCAACGAAACTTTATTAACATCTTCAACTTGCATGACAACAGTGAGTCAATCAGAGCAAAATTAAAAGAGTATTTTGATAAGCATTATATTACTAAGGAGCAAATGCAAGTGATGAGCCAAGAAATCCACGAGAGGTTGATCAACTCGTGGAAGCCGGAAATGGACGAGGATAAGATTCGTGGTATGATACAGGAGTACTTGGCTGTGTTCGAGCGCCGCCAGATGGAGCTGATAGTTGAGAAGATAAAAGAATATGTAAAGGAGGTGCATACACACACAGTGCACCACGTGGAAACGGGATTGGACGTGGAAGCCGTGAAGAAAATTGTCGCTGGAATGCTCGATGTGTACGATGCGGATAAAACCGGTTTGGTTGATTACGCTTTGGAGTCTGCAGGTAATTGTAATTTAACCTATTTGTCATCTATAGCCAGGTTTCTAGGTAAAAAGAATCAAATGTCAAAGAGGTAGGCCTTTATTTATACTCTTATATATTTATTTATTTTTTTTATTTTTATGTATTTATTTATTTTTTAAAACATAGCCCTATTCAATCAATATATAATCAAATTACATCTATGTTAAGCCATGAATAGTTTCCACATTTCACCTTTTTATATAGTCCTTTATGGTCATAAAGAACTATGTCTATATAGGTTCTCTATGTAGGATAGTGTATACTCTTATGATTATATATTATAAAATATATCTATCTATACTAATATCATAAAGAAGAAAGATTTGTTTGTTTGTAATGGATTAATTCAAAAACTGCATTATCAACATGTAATACAGACAATATATTATTTTCAAAAGATCTATCTACTTGTATGAATCCAGATAGTGTACTTAGGTTAAGTTTTTTTTTTAAGTTATTCATAAATGTGTTGATATTATATAGTTGTTATTATATAATATAATGAAAAGTAACAACAACCAAAAATTTGTGCCTTACATACAGTCTTAGAGAAAAGACAAAAGATAGATTTACGAAAATATAGAATGAAAAATCAATTTACATTCAGTTCTTAAGGGCTCATTACACATAATGGAACCGTAATAACGCTAAAATACGTTATAAATACATAGCAAAATCGAAAAACAATCGCACGATAGATTGCCCCTGATCTTTTATAAAACTTTTTACTGACATTAATGCGTGTTAATACAGGGTGTATAACTTATACTTACTTATACTTGCACATTGATTTACATAGAACTATAATTTGGATTATATCTAAATATTTGATAGTGTGTAAAGCCCCTAAGCATAACATTTAATATTCGAACACCAACAGGGGGTCAAGTGATATCGACGAAGTGCACGGAGCTATACCAGATCAAAACGAAGCAGTACTCGATCCTGGGGCTGCCGGTGTGGTGGGTGTACACGTCGCCGCGGTACGCGCTCACGCCGGGCGCGATGCCCGCAGAGTGCTGGGCTTTCCAGGGCTTCCCAGGATACTTAGGTAATCAATAATAAAAATAAACATCTCAAGACAAATAACACAGCGCCATCAAGCAGAGTTCGTACTGTGGATACTAAACAATCGATAGATATACTTAAATATTGTTTAATAATTATATATTAAGTTACAGTTTATTATTCTTGGCAATGCTATTTGTTCTTATTTATTTACATCCATCTCTTCTTGCATTCTTCATCTTTTATTCTTATCTGTGTCCATATTACTGTTGCTTGCTTACTGTTGACGTAATGTCTGCAAGTCAAAAATCTCTAAAGGTTTAAAGGCGATCCCCGTGTTAACATAAGATTTCATTGTCATCTCCAGTTGTTCGCACGTACGCAGTGATCGAAGTGACGGGCTTTTCATTGGAACATATGTCTCGCTTGCTGGCCGTCGACGGGAAGATCGAGTCGGCGCCCAAAAACTTCTCCGTATATGTAAGTCAACTTCACATATCATACCACGCTAATGAACAAAACGGGGATTTTTATAAGTTTACATAATAAAATCTCAAACAATTTACTGTTTTTATATATGTATTCGCTTAAATTTTAGTTATGACTGTACCGTTTACGATCGTTATTTATTTTGTACTATCGCTATATACCTAAATAATACTGAAATATAAATTAATCTAACGATATGCCATTTATGAAAAACTATCAAACCATTTAGGCTTTTTAGGTATTACTATGAGAAATATACTTCCGAAAACATCATGCCATTTTTGATAAGGTAAAAGTTGCAAAATCACTCGTCTATGTAATAAAAAATTTTATTATTACTCGAAAGACACTAGTATTTAAATTAATAAAAAATATTACTTCTTTAAAACTGCAATACAATGTATATAACTTTAAATCAATGGTCCTAAGAACGGCATTGAGATAAATACCATTTTAGTTAATAAATACCAAGTTAGTCAACGGATACACTATTTACTTTAATTATTTTTTTTATACCTATCACGGGTAAGTTTTTTCTTTAAAATTTTTAATCTGTGAAAATATACATATTGTTTAAAAATGTACTGCTAAAAGTTTATATTATTAGAATAATATTGATTTCAACACTTTTATAAATAGTATTTGGCTTCAACTATTTTTTAATGTAAGCTTTATTGTTGAAAAAAAAAAAACACCAAATAATATTGCTTTAATATTTCCTTGCTTCTCATAGATCAATTTGTACAATGTTGTAATTTTTATAGTTCATATGTATTTTCTGTAGATTTAGTATATTATTATTTAGATTTTTGCCTGCTATTACGCGCGTGTATATTTCAAAAGTAGGCAAATGAATGAAAAAAAAAAAAACATTTTTAGATGGCGTATCAAGATAAACATACGCTAGATTTTAAGCTAAAATTTCAGGTGCACAACTGTGAAAATTGCATCCTATTTGATGCAATAGCTTTGCGTGATGCTGGAACAAACATACAGAGAGACAGATAAAATTTTTAATAATTATTGTTTTGACATCTGTTGGTCTAATTAATATCCCGTATATTATTTTAAATATCTTCCATATACAGTCATCATCCAATTAAAATTTTATTATATTAATAACTTAATTAGCCATATATTCATTAATTATATTAGTTATATAAAAGTATAAATTTAAATTTTTCAAAATGATTAAAATTGATAAAAATAATTTACTTTTTATGCTATTACTACACACGACACACAATTTCACAATCGGAACTTAAGGCGACGTGATTACAGGTAAATAGTACCAGAGGGAGACTTTGTACAAAAGTCGATTGCTTGGGTACCTCTGTCCCATTCATGTTTCTACCGTGAAGCAGTTGTGTTTGCATGGCTGTGTTTCGGTTTGAAGGGTGGGATATGGCGTGAATTTACTTGGTACAGAGGAATAACACCTGAGTCCTCAGGAATGTCAACGCATGGGGGGTATCATGGGCGAAACAGTATACTCTGTTATATCCATGGTATTGCTCACGTCTATAAGCGACGCTTACCACTTTCCATCAAGTGGGCCGTCAGCTTGTTTGCCATTCTAAGTTCCAAAAAAACCAGATTTTTTTACTGACGTTTCGTTCTTGTTGCGTTAAGTCCCAAATAGTTTATTTAAAATATGATTCAACAAAACTGTTAATATTATAGATAAAATTCCTTTTAGGTATCTTGATAAGCCCATTTAATTTCTATAACTACAATTTATTTCTCGATTCATAGTCATGCTTAAAATCCGCACCATATGTAGTTGACTATGGCTAGAGTGAACATTACTTCTTATGGCATACCCTTATTTGAAACTAGCTGTGTTTCCAATCTAATATTTTATTGGTGACTTTCATACAATATTTAATTACCCTATTTACTGCTTGGAGGCATATTTTAATATAACATTTAAGTACTTTCACTTAATGTCAAATAAAAAACGCCCGTGCAAAATTCTGCTTCTAGGCTACAGATGACTATACTCGCCTCCAGACCCACTGCTTTAGGCTATTATTGGATAAATTGTGTTTTAAATCAATTAAAGTATATTTTATTTATTTCAATTCCACATTTCTGTTGATAGCCTTATTTATTATCTGTATTTTTATTTTACTTTTTTATTTCAACACAATGTCCATGCATTGCGTAAAGATGTTGCCTCTCTTTGCTTCTGTTATCGCGTCTATCATGGGAAGTGTTCAGAGCAATTATTCCTTATTTAATATTAATACCGATTGGTGAATTTCACTACCGTACAATCTGCATACGAGCTAACTTTATTTCGACCATCTTGATAAATAGCGGTCCTTCACCGTGCATTTCTGTAGATATTATCTTTCACGCATGAACAGACTAACACCATATGGTTCCAATATAGAGTGGGCCACCCCTTTCTTTCTCGAGGGTGTGGTAAGAAGCGACTAAAAGAACTTAATGGTCGAGGAATGGGCAGCAACGTCCCTCTTAAAACATCACCTAACCTAATCCGCCTGCCAAGCGTGACAACTACTGGCAACCTTCCTTCCTTCGACCCCTCCTTATGGGGGAGGCCTATGTTTAGTATTAACCAATTAAAATTATAAAGAATTTTCTAGGCTCTTTCAAGATGGTTCCAACAAAAAAATTAGAACATTTCTGTAAAAAAAAAATATAATAAACTAAGTTTTATCTTTTTGATATCCGTAACTTTTGTTTATAAACCCCTAAAAGTAACGTAGTACAACATATTCATGAATTATTGATATTATCAACCATATGTATCACATAATAACGTATTTGCTTAGGCTCCAAATGCCCGCCTGAACTAGTAGTAGTGTTTTCTCCAGATCCTAAAATAATATTCACATCTGTTCCTTTTAGGGTATGTTTTCATAAGTAGTTTTCGATTGTGATTAGAATGTATTTATTCAATTGGCTTATTCATGAATGTGAACAAAGTAAATCTTAACGTTTTTTTTTTACTTTACTAATTCCAGGGTTTGCATGGCGAAATGGATCCAGAACCACATCTGTTCGGCGACTATATGTACGATGCAAACGGCACCGCCATACAGTACTTCCCCGTAAAATATCCCAAGACAACAAACATTGGCGGCGTGGACTACCCTGTTGCATACGACATCATCGAGCTGAGAGTCGAGAGCAATCATGGCAACCCGACGTACACGTGCGTCTACCGTTTTCGTGTACACGGCAACCCGCTCTCAGACATCAGAAGAGCAACCGAAGACAGCATCAAAGACAGCGAGTCGTAGCGACTGAAAAAAAAAACTATGATTTTTTTTTTATTGTACATTGAATATGTGAAGTGATAATGTGCGATGTGCGTTCGTAAAACGTCCATTTAAAAAGTTGTGTTCAATTTGAATTTGGAAGTGACCATTCCTGGATAATAATTAGCTCGTGAGAGCGAGGTGTGGCCTTATTTTATAATCGTTTTAATTTACTAACACATAGAATATAAAATCAAAAGTACAAATCTGTTTGTTGACTACATAGTGACTTACAATTATGTGCTTAATCTGGATAAGGACTTAACACGCACAATGACCACTAGATAGATACGCTTAGTTATATAGCTTGAGTACATTTTTATCTATATTTATTGGTAGGTTTTAAACATATTTTAAGTTTGTTATAAATTGGTTAAGATTCTGAATATTTAATAGTAATTTTCTCAAGTAAGTTGGACAAAGTTCTATTGACGACGGGTGTAACAATTATGGTACTGAGTCATAATTTTTAGGAAAGAGTGTCTACACCATTTTGTCTTATTTTTTATAATGTTTAAATAAGTCGATCAAATGCATATATTTTTAAAAAGTTAAATAGAATTAAGTTGAAATTCAGTGATACGTAATGGATACTTAAATTTTACTTGTATTAGACTTTTTTTTTTATAATCAGGCCCTGGTCTTGGCAAAAGAAGTCAATCATAGAGTCATGTAAACTCTATTGACTGTCTCAGAGATATAGAACTCTGTACTAATTCCTGTCACCCAGTTCTCGCCTAAATGAGCCGCGTCCAAATTTACATAATAGTTTGTATAGGCTTAAAAACTGAACTAGTCTTACGTTATAAATATGCCAATATAAATATAAGCGTTTGCACTTGTTTTTAACTAATATAGTCGGTAGTGGAAGCCCATCGGCCCTACTAACGTTGGATGAATCTTATTAGGTTTTACTTTAGGTTAATTAAATGATAAAACAATTGGTCAATGTATATTTGTACTCAAAATGCTTTGTTTTGTTATACTAGTATTTACCGTAATTTCGTCCGCTTAACCATTCCATACAGTGCATAAATGCCAAATTTTATAGTGATCGGTTAAGGCGCTATAAGGTAACAAAAAACAAATTTATTTTCACATTATATTAATAACAATGTTCAAATCCATCTGTTATTATAGGAATAACTCCAAATCATTACCATTATTCTATTTTAATATTAATATATTAATGTTCTATTGATAAAATAGATATTTTCGCTCAAAAAGTCATGAGCAAAAACGATATAAACAATAATGCCTCACATATTAAGATGGCAGATCCAACTTTCAAGTTAGTAAGGAAGGCTCAAAACTATTTGTATTTTTCAACTTATGTTCCTTAGGAGAAAATCTTCAACTTTATAATTTAATAATGATTTTAATTAAATTCTATAAAAAAAAAAATAAGGTCGAAAACTAAAATTGTGTATTTTAATACAAGATTTTTGAGTACAAATAAATGTTGACTTCATTACACTGTCCTATTAGTTTATACAAAGAATTGCACCAAATTGCACATGAGCGACTTAAGCTGTATTTCTTTTGTACACATAAAAAGACAGTTTTAATTTCATTTTTGAACCTATCAAATTGACCTACCTCTCAAATACATGACACATGAAATTCTGTATTGCAGTCCAACAATAATCGTCTCATTGGATTCATAAAAATACTTTGTTCATAATGTAATAATGATTTTGAAACTACATCCGCATCGACAGATTTAATAAATAACCGATACACTGAAATTACAGAGTACAGAAGCATAACACCTTGGTCCTTAGATATAGCAATGTTTGAGAGACACCATAGATATTGCACTGTGCTTTTATGTACATGTTATTGGTCATATTTATAGATGATGCTTATCCATCAGATGGGCTGCTAGCTTGTGTGTGGTCCCTGTAAAAAATATATCCGTCAGACAATTATTGAGACCAAACCAATTAACTTACGACCCAATAATGCATGTTTAAAAATTGGATATCCAGAACTACAAGGTTATTTGATGTAGTCATTGCGGAGACGCTAGAGAAATCAATTTTACGCAGTGAATTTAATGACAAAAAAACTTACAACAAACATTAATATGCATACACTGTTGTCATGGCCGTAGTTAGGGGGGAGAGAAGGCATTGAGGGGCAATGCGCTACTTTAAAAGGCCCAATGCATTGCCTTGAATGGCCTAATGCCCTACTTTAAAATTAAAGGCCCCAAGAAAATTAGATTCGCTACGGCCCTGATTGTTGTACATGTAACTGAAATTATTATGAACTACAAATATAAGTACTTGAATTATAGTTATGACAGTTTACAATAATGATTTGAAAATGTTGTCGATTTATACTCCAATTTCCATGTAAATACAGAAAATAATAGTGTATTTAGAGGTAGTTCTCACAAGAAAGAAATGTCACGTTTTGCTCTCAAGTTTTGTGATTTCTTATAATAATTACTTTGCGGAGGGTAGTTTGTAATATAGTAATGTAAAACTAGTGTGCAGAGTAGGTACTTTCTATTAATACAATAAATGCGTTCTTTATTTAAGTTTGATCTCTACACAGTCTAACTATAATACTAATTAACTACGCAACGAATTTTAACGCGGTTTTTGTCAATAAATAAATTGATTTAAAGGTTTATACGTAAAAATTAATATTGTTTTGTGTCAGTTTATTGAAATATGACGTTAATTGTTCAAGATGTCAAAAGAAATCAAGTCGGCTGAGAATTTTCATCAAAAACGCTACCTATCCTCTTGAGATATAACAAAACAATGTATGGTGATATTGTTTCTCTTTTATAGGTTTACAAAAAAGTCCGCGATGGCATATGTCTATCTTTTATTAAGGATAGCTTCCTATACTCATCTAGTTCACACTCAACGCAGCAAGCTGATGCAAAAAATGTAAGCATATATGCTCTACTACCCGTCAGAAGAGGGCGGGTCGTTAATAAATCCGAATTACTATATGACTTGAAGTACTGAGATAGTAAATCACAAAACTTGGTAGGATATCGCAGCGTCACAATGCTTATGTAGTTTTCTCTTAACGTTATTGGCTTTACATAATAATGGAGTCATATTAGTTATGTAGATTTGAAATTTAGAAAAATTATGTCGATCTGTCTAATGAAATTGTTTTATAAATGTCTGTTTAAATTTTGAAACAGTCTTATTTTATGTCCTATCCGCACTAAATATATAATATAGTAATATAAATTAGTATATAGTAATAACTTTGTAAAAGTTACCACTAACATTTTTCTTTTAATATATTCTTCGGTCCTCGTTTATAATGAAATCATGTGTTCTTATTTTAATTTATTCAGTTTTTTTTTTCTTTTTAATCGAAATTGTGTGTTTAGTGATGGCGATTCAACAATTGTATACCAAAAAGTATATTTATGTTATAAGAGCTATCAAGCATGGGTGATATGACTCATTTGTTACTTTTATTATTACCGTGCTGTGTGTATGTGTTATATAAACCCATGAATATCTCTCAGTTACGAATACTATTAAAATTTGTCACCCATGTGTGCTAGCTCTGTATACAATACTACTGAGAGTCTATATAGGTACATGCATGTGTGAGGATGAGAAATGAGACAATTATACGATTTTAGTTTATGTAAATAAATAAATAAAAATCTTCTTTATTCGTAACAATGGTGTAATTTAAACTTATTTTACAATGAATAATTAAAATGAATTATAAAAGTCTCTGAACTAAGTCAGCACTGTTTCTTGGGGGCTAGATGCAAATTAAAAATGTTTTAATATATTATATTAATAAATAAACCAGTGTTCGTGTTGATAATATAGAATACTAAATATGTTAATAATATAAAATAATGAAAGAAAAATACATTCAACTCAGCAGCTATGATCGCACACAGACACATCTCGGTTTATCTCGCTGTCTCCGGTTTCTTGTCGAATTGTGTTCTTTTTATTTATTTGACGCCATTTGTGTTTATAAAATATATGTATATATTAAAGTAGATACGACAATGTATGTGTTTGAATCCAACTTCAAATAATATTATAGTGAGCCTCCTATAGCTTCATTAGCTCTTTGGCCAATTTTAAACTAAGTTAAAAAAAAAATATCATCACCTTGTTATTTACAATGAACCCTAGTAAATTTTAATAATGTTTACCGCAATATTATTTGTTCTATTATTTATTAGAAATAATACAATTCTGGTTAACTGGAAGTCTGAAGAGTAAAAGAGAGACTAAGAGATATCTCATGTTGAAGTCGTAATAGTTATTTATAATTTATTTAATTTGACTAGGTTTTACAGAATTACTCTGTGTATCGCATAACGTGACTATTTTAAGTATCCTAATATGCTACAGACTTTCATAGTATGTACTTCAATAGGAAGTAAGTAAATTCTATTTGTCCACCGCGCCTATATCAAGCACAAATTATCGTGTATTTAATTCGTTCTACCTCACACTCGCGAAAGTCAAATTAATATTAACTTAAATTTATTACATGTTTATGAAAAACATCAAACATCCAAGGACACGATATTCTGGCCTGCATATTTTATATTTATTTGTTGAAAGTTGGATAACGGCACTAAATATAGAGAATATCTACTAGAACTATGTTCAATTGCGTCTTTATTTATGTATTTGTAGAAGAATTTTAAAACTGTTTTATTATACTGCTTTTATGTAATTATGTGAAAATATTTGTGATGTTAGAAATAAAAGTTGTATGAATTAACGACTATTATTTTGTCGATTTCAATAAATGAGTATTTTATTTATGACTTTTAGAATTTTACCCGTTTATACATATCCTCGTGTCAATTCTAACGAATCTATCTATCTGCCTATTTTTGTTTTTAAATAAAAATTCAATTCACTTGGAAAGGTTTACTGGAAGAAATCTCTTATTAGAGATAAGCTCGCCTTTGTACATGACGTTTAAAATTAATTGTTCTTAACAATATGTTTGTGTACAATAAAGAATCTACTATTTTAATAATATTTTTATTACTTAAAAAAACGAATCAAGAAAATAATAAAATCTTTGTAACTGTTGACAGTTTGAGCACAAATTAAAATATACTTTTTTTTTCCTGTAACTTCGGTTCCGCTGTTTGCTGCGGATGGAGTAATTATTTTTATTTTAAATGTATTTTCTATTTAGTTTGAAAATTGAAAATCATTGTGTGATTTACTGATTTATTTCCTATATTCCTACGTTAATACAAAATTGATAAAAATACAATACTTAGTTTTGTAAATTTAAGGTACCTTATAAAATTGGCAGTACACATTTTTATACTTTATCACCAATAATTTTTTATTTGACTTAGTTAAAAAATACTTTGGTCCAAATACACTCTATCACCTCACAAATAGTAGACTGAAAAAATTTGCCCGATATCAGACATTAACTTGGTCTGGCGGGATACTATGACCTCTAAATCTAGCAACATTTTTTAATTTATTTTTTGGACGCCATCTACCCCTTATAAACATACTTGTACATTGCTATAGAAATAAATATCTACAATTTTTGTGAGACATGATTAAACATGTTTGAAAAACACCGTATTCAAAGACAAATCTTTCAAACATAAACATAGGGCCATGAAATATTTTTTGAAATTTCAGGGCTGAACGAAACACAAATTTGATGTTAAAATTACATAATACATATCGTATAAACATATTAAAAATGTTAAAATGTTGTCCCTTTGGACTTTTATGGCAGGATTTGTGACGAACAATATCTTAAGCTCCTTTTACTAGGCCGATTTTGGTATGAACAAAAACACGAAATTGACTCCGAGAATTCGGAATTTCATTTTATGGTAGAACCCCCAGTATAGTAATATTAAAACTGTAATTCTATATATTGATGCGACATTCGTGATACGGTGGCGGCGGTGTCTCGCACCTGTCTGGTGGTAACCGAACCGCGTCTACTGCAATTCTTTGGGCTCGAAACTGAGTGCTACCATCAGGCAGAGAAAGCTCCCTACGTATTTGCGGAGGAGTCGCCAAATCCGGATTCACCACGTTACTCCAAAGTAAATTTGCTCTCATATCTCCATCCGCTACTCTCTGAGCTCTCCGCCTCTGTCTTTCTGTTTGCGTTTTTATACAGTTCCACTTTCTACATTTACAAATTTCCCTCAGCCATATATAGGTGCCGATTATCCCAATACCCAGGCCTATCTCGAGACCCATAATGAGCGCTTGCACCGCTGAAAAATCTTTGTCAAATTTCTCAAACGGTGTCAGTGTTCTATTGGTGTCCCTGGTAACTGCTGGCAACGTTGTGTTTTTCTTCACAGTCTGTGTCACATTCCATACGTCATTTATATCGACTGCTTTATTCTCTTCTACTACAGATATCATTCTTTCAAGCATTTTAGGTCTCGACCTCCGACACTGTTTTGAATATGATATTTCACGTGACACTATCCAAGCCTCAGCTGCGATAAATTCTGAACTGCATTTCAAGTAATCATTTTTCAATTCCAATCTAGTTAGCTTGCGTAATGGTTCGAGCACAACGGTTTTAAATGATATTATATAATTTTGACTCAAATCCAATTTTTTTAAATTAGGCAGTCGCTTAAAAAGTCTCTCCGGAAATAATTTGATTCGACAGTTTTGTAAGTTTAGTACCTGAAAATATAAAATTTACAGTCATAAAAAATGTTAATTTCAAATGATCCTCTGTAAATGAGACAACTGGAATTAAATGCTACATCTATTTCGTTGTTGAGAAGCATTCTCGATTGGTGACTTTGTACATATACATATACATTTCATTCGGCGATTCCCGATTATATGAAATAGCAACTTCAAATGAGTTGCAGGGTGTTCTCTCCTCCTATCAACCATCCTCACCTATCATACCGCACTGGTGATAAACGGCTGATATAATGAAAAATATCACCATGCGCGAACTTTTTTATCCAATTGTAGACTAGTTTGTGATTAGTGCTCATCATCATCATCATCATCCTACCCTTATCTCAATTATTATTTGGCGTAATATATTTTTTATCCATATTACAAAAAGATTTGGCTTATAATTTTACGACCGGCCGCCTGCCTGACGTCAACCCTCTTTGGGAATTCTTTGTGCTCATATATGACATAATAATCTTAACCATGTTTTATTTTTATGTATCCCTTAATTATATACTCTTTGGTATCCTTCATATGGCACATAAAATATTGGTTGGTCACGACGTTGATTTCTCGTTTTTATGTTTTTTTTTTAATGACTTATAATGGAATGGTAACCCTGTCTGCGCTAACGGTATACGCTGACAGAGCAGCAGAGATGATAAATGAAGATGAAAGCAGGTCAGCCCATCGTGATGAATACACCTGGAACTCAACCTACTAGGGTATATTGCTAGCAAATGGACTGGTAGTTCGCATTACTAACAAAGCCTGTCCCCCCTCTCGTTCTTGTGGTTGGCAGTAACATGATTAATCATGCCACATTCAATATGCATGATGTTCTTATTTATAGCCTACTAGGAGTATAACGACAAGGCAAGTGAGTGAGTGGAATAAAGTGACGAATATAACGTCTTATCTCTCTGTCTCAGTGATTAATACACTGACACTTCAAAGCAAAACAACTATACATACTTACATTAAAATAAATACCGCTGGAAATATTACACAGCCATCTAGTCTCAGAGTAAGCAGTAGATTTGTATTACTGTATGACATATTTATATATATATATATATATATTGTCGTGTGGTCCCAGCGTAGAACAGACCACCCCTTTCTTTTCCGTGGGTGTCGTAAGAATCGACCAAAGGACGGCGAGGGATGGACAGCAGTATCCCTTTTAAAACTACTGTCAAAACCCCCCAAGAGGGATGCTTATGTTCAGCAGTTGACAGTTTAAAGCTGATATGATAATGGTATTTTTTTTTTTTATTAAAAATACAAGAAAACAAATGCTGGTATTCTACGAGATCAAACTCGCAACTAACGGATTGTGAGGCGATGTGATCCAAGGATGCCTGAGTTTTTTTGCAAAGACATTAATTCTTAATTTCTTCTTCTATCTTATATCTTATTAATTTCTATTTGTAAATAAAAAGTTTATGAAGATAATTATTACAGATTTTAATGAAATTCAATGACCATAATATCCTGAATTCATGGGATGCTTCTTATCTTAATCTACACGAACAAAGCCGCGGATTTTATTTAGTATAATCTCGATATACGTAAAAGGCATACCTGTAATTTGTCGTGTATTATAAAAGGTTCGTTTTTCAGTGTTTCGAAAATATTTCCCGATAAATCGAGAATATCTAGTTTTGGTGTGTCCGAAAACAAATCTGACTGGATGTCTCTCAGCCGGTTATTGCTTAAATCCAATTGCACCAACTCTTCCAAACCGGCGAACGCGTGTAAACCAATCCAGTATATCAGATTGTAAGATAAATTTAAAATTTTCAGCGAACTGTAACCAATCTCCTGCAAATAATAGAATCGTTGATAACTTCTAAAGACAATACAAAAACATCTTACCTAATCATTTCTTTCTAATATCAATAAGTATGGAGCGATAACAATAAATATTACATAGACAGTAAACTTTAGATCAATACATATATTTTTCATTAATTAGTTTTGAAGTAAATACAGTGACCGTCGTGTCGTTCAAAGTTAAATACATGTAAGAAATAAAGTAAACGAAGCGAACCGATTTTGACAAAATCGTTGAGAATATTGACTTTAGACGATATAGCGATTTCATAAAAAAAAAACATTTTGCAAGTGAAAGTAGAAGAGAAAAGGAAGATCAAGAAGTAATTCGATACATGAGTCAGATAAATAAATACCACTGGATATATATATATTTTTATATGGTTTTGTCATCCATATAAAAAAAATATATATCTAGTGGTATATTTATTTGTCTGCGCTAGCGGTATACACTGGCGAAGCACTAGTGAGGGATAATAGTGAGAATGAAAAAGTAGTTCAGTTAGCCCATTATGATGAATACACCTGGGTATATTGCTAGCAATGGGACTGGCAGTCTGTATTACTAATAACCCCCCCCCCCCTCTCCCCCCTCCCTCTACTAGACATATTACACAACGCCATCTAGTCCCAAAGTAAACCGCGCTTGTATTAGGGATATTACACAGCTGATAGACGTACCTTTTTTTAAAAAAAAAAATACATATTATGTGTAGAAATTTCCCATTATATATATTATAGAAATCGTAGATAACATTTTGTAAAGAAACATCAAGTCTGTTCTGGGACAGAGCCAATTAGAGACAGATTCGTTATTTGTTCCAAAAAAAAAATATCGTACCTTATAGCAAAAATTATCCAATTCTGTAATAGCGTTGTGGCTAAGACTGTACACTTGAACAATTCTCGGCACTCCCACGTCGACTTCTATAATATTTTGATTACTACAGGTCGCTCTGTTCAAACCGTCTTCCATATCACAATCGCACTGTTTCGGACATAGTTGACCACAAACTATACTGGCGAACCATAATACAAATACAGCACAATACTTTAACCCCATTTCTTATGATTTAACACGATATGTTCAGATGAAAACTTCAGGTGCATTGTTTTCTTAAAGGAAAATGCACTGACTCAAACGGTGTAATATAAAAATGGAACGTTGACAAATGGCGATGCGAACATACAACACCTATCTAATCACTACGATAAGATAACCGCTTGCTTTTATAATAAAGACAAGGAGTTTTATCTTCATTGACTAAACATAAGTATTGTTCGTTTTACATGAAATTGTATTTGATTGGCGTACTACATTTAGATTCAAGCACAAGGACTCTAACATCAAAAATTATTAATCTAAGCGGTTGAACTTTTTTTTCGATGGGTGAAAATGGTATGGTAATCCCGCCTGCGCTAACGGGATACGCTGGCGGAGCACCAGTGAAGGGTGATTGATGAGAATGAAAACAAGTTAGGTAGCCCATCATGATGAATTCGTCAGGAATTATCCATGATAGTTTCCAGGGGGAACCGCGAGGAGGTCGACCTGGTTGGGTATATTGCTAGCAATGGGATTTTTATTCTCCATTTCTAACAAACCCTTTTCCCCCAAATAATGGAATGTTACCCCACCTGCGTTAACGATATACACTGGTGGGGTACCAATGAGGGGTGATAGATGAGAATAAAAAGGCTGGTCAATTAGCCCATCGTGATGAATACACCTGGAACTCAGCACGATGGTTTCCAGGGGAAGGAGCACGTAGAGGTCGACCTAGTTGGGTATATTGCTAGCCATGAGGCTCTTAGTCCCCATTATTAACAATACAATACGACTATAACGATTAACTCTTGAATTGAATTTAGTCACAATAATCAAATAATAAATTACAATATGTATTCTTTATTGCACTTGTAAATTACATAGATAAGACACATAAATGTCACAATATAAGATATATTTAGAAATAAGTCTTGCTCACAAGTAAGATTAATGATCCTTAATTATAATTTTCAAACGACTTTAAAATGGAGAATGATTTTGATAAATTTCTATTCGATTATAGTTTTCCACATATTAGACGATATATCCACGATATTAAACGATATATTTTACATACAGAATATAAAAAGGCGTATATATATATATATATATATATATATATATATATATATATATATATGTAAATAATAATGCGCGGAACATAAATATTTTTATATAAATTCATAAAAACATTAATGATTCCTTATATATCATTTCAAATAATAATGAATTGAGAAATCTCCACCTTTTTTTCTTTAGGTACGACTATGTTAATGCTTATACTGGTTGGTTGTTAATATATTAAAAGAGATAGTTCTACGTTTCATGTATGTACACCTTTCATATATATTTTAATCTCTAACCACTTTTATCTCTATCTACTCACAATTTTTTAATACCATACTTCGCCCTGCCAATATTGATTTTATAATTGATGGAGCTATGAGGTAACAAACAAAAAAAAAAACAATTGAGAACTGTCTTTTTGGAGTTGGTTGAAAAAGGTAAGTTAAGGTAGACCTGTTTTTGGAACAATCACGACATTGTTAACAGACTTTCTAAATTATGAAAATAATGATATTGGACGGTAGATTTGAAATAAAAACCCTTACGTTGTTACGCTGGGCTAAATGAGATCTTCCTTATTTAAAGACTACAGTCACTTTACATGATATAAGAGCCGTGAACTTGTTTGCAATTCTATCATAAAAAAACTCAATTTTACAAGAACAGAACTGAATTTACTTGGTTATGCATTTACTTATATATATATATAGAGTAGTGGAGCGAGATATTATTGGCTACGCGTCGTCGGTATAAAACTGTCGTTCTATTTCTGTACGTAGGTCAATGTCGAGCGTTGCTCTCGTACCAATTACTAATCTACCTACCTATATGTTTATAGTAGCAGATGGGGAAAAACAAACGAACAATCATTTTCATTACTTTTGTTCTAACTGAAAAAGGGTCCTGGGTGAGAATAGAACTAAAAGGTAATTAAAAGACAAGTTAAATTTTTCGGATTTTTTTTTTTGTATTTTCATAATTTTTTATAATTTATAAATGACCTAGTAAGAAAGTAGTCTTATCCGTTTCAGCACATACAATCATCATTCATGAGATTACAAAAGATCCTTTGGCGAGTGCAGTACCGAGGCCGGCGGTCGAGGCGCGCCCGCGGCGCCGCGCTCCGTCCTGCCGTCACTATTACGATTTAATTACATATAATATCTTACGTACAATTAAATTAATTAACGGAGATTACAAGCCTGAGTTGAGCAGCCGGCCGCGCGACCGACCGGGCCGCGGGCTGCACGAGGCAGCGACGCGTCCTGCGCTTAGAAGCACTTCCTGTGCACAATTGATGGTCCGGACTCATCGTACTCTTGCTTCGAGATCCACATCTGTTGGAATGTGGAGAGGGAGGCCAAGATGGAACCACCGATCCAGACGGAGTATTTGCGCTCAGGCGGGGCGATGATCTTGATTTTCATCGTCGACGGTGCAAGGGCAGTGATCTCCTTCTGCATACGGTCGGCGATGCCCGGGTACATGGTGGTGCCTCCAGACAAGACAGTGTTGGCGTACAGATCCTTACGGATGTCGACGTCGCACTTCATGATCGAGTTGTAGGTCGTCTCGTGGATACCGCAAGATTCCATACCCAAGAAAGAGGGCTGGAAGAGGGCCTCAGGGCAACGGAATCGCTCGTTACCGATGGTGATGACCTGGCCGTCAGGTAATTCGTACGACTTCTCCAGAGAGGTGGATGAAGCGGCGGTGGCCATTTCCTGCTCGAAGTCCAAAGCGACGTAGCACAATTTCTCCTTGATGTCACGAACGATTTCACGCTCAGCTGTGGTGGTGAAAGAGTAGCCTCGCTCTGTGAGGATCTTCATTAGGTAGTCTGTGAGGTCACGGCCGGCCAAGTCCAGACGCAGGATGGCGTGGGGTAGTGCGTAGCCCTCGTAGATGGGCACTGTGTGCGAGACACCGTCACCGGAGTCCAGCACGATACCAGTGGTACGACCAGACGCGTACAGGGAGAGCACGGCCTGGATGGCGACGTACATGGCCGGTGTGTTGAAGGTCTCGAACATGATCTGTGTCATCTTCTCTCTGGAATAAAAACATTTTACTTGTTAGATAAAACTGATAGTGACAGGTACGTACTTAATGAACAGTGGTACCCAGTTATAATTATATGATTATTTAGTAAATTTCAAAGTTTTTAACATACCTGTTGGCTTTAGGGTTGAGCGGGGCCTCAGTCAGGAGAACGGGGTGTTCCTCGGGAGCGACACGCAATTCGTTGTAGAAAGTGTGATGCCAAATTTTCTCCATGTCGTCCCAGTTAGTAACGATACCGTGTTCAATTGGGTATTTGAGGGTGAGAATACCTCTCTTGCTCTGGGCCTCGTCACCGACGTATGAGTCCTTCTGTCCCATACCGACCATAACACCCTGATGGCGAGGACGTCCAACGATCGAGGGGAAAACGGCACGGGGAGCATCATCCCCAGCAAAACCGGCCTTGCACATACCAGATCCATTGTCTACGACCAATGCTGCAACTTCGTCGTCACACATTCTGAATTAGTCTGAAAATAATTAAATTAACGATAAGCGAACTCTATCGTATACCTTAACATCACCTATACGCTTTTATTATTCTAACTTTTCAGTTACAATTAAACCTAAATTATAGTAACATAACAATCATTCCCATATAGAGTGACACGTGGGCAGAGAAGACCTACGCGACTATTAAGAAATACGCTAAGTGGGTGGACGATGGTCTCGCACTTGGAATCCAAATATGGCTAGGTCTAACACAAGAGGCCCCGACACTATATGTGGCAAGCATTTGGATCGTATGAAGCTACTTAGCGACATTTCTCTGATGTGGGTACCTCTCATTAAACGAGAAAGTGGAACACTGAACGGAACTTTCAAATCGTTAAAAAATAATTATGAAATTTGCAATAAATTTTGCTTATAAGGAACCCGACCACGCCCTACCACAACCGGCTATTCCCGATTCCCCGGCCGGGCGTGCGACCCTGCCAGCCCAACCCTAAACGACGTGTCACTGACCGCACATTCACAATTTAATTGCACTAATTCATCACAACACAAAATCACTAAACACCACAAAGGAGATGAAACGCATATCAATTTCAACTTACTTTTAATTAAATAGTCCTATTATAAATAAATAAATTATATCGCTATTGCACAGCCTCGGTAACGCTGTACAACACTTCAACTCGGGCTCACTTCGTGGAATGTCGGCGAGCGCGGCAGGCGGAGTATATAAATGAGACTGGTTATCGGGGCGCCCCTACCCGCGCCGCGGCAGTTCTCCACCAATCACAGAATACGTGAGGTTTCGTGACCATATATGGTATTCCTCTACAGAGAGCCTGCGCGTCCCCCCCCCGCTGTCCGCGCAACCCCCGGCACTGATAGCGCGCCACTTGATAACGAAGATTTCCAACAGAATTCACATTGGGCACTTGGCAAGCAGACCGATTCTCAGAGTCGATCGTCTAGTCTATTATATTGGACTAACGATAACAACAGCTGGATTGAACGCAGTGTGATAAGGAAAGTCCAAGTTTGGCACTCCGCCAAATCGTATTCTATATTACTAAGCACATATAACTATAGGCAGGAATACATTTGAATTAGTTTCATTGATTACAACAGCAGCCTACCAAGTAGGCGTATTTTACTTAAAACTAAAAGCTTATAAGAATTTATATGGATACCTAGGTACCTACTGCCATAAATATATAAAATGGCAACAGAATATAATGCTTGTAAGTTTATTTAAATATGTAAGTTTAGAGACAATTATTTAATTGACTTACCACAAGATTAGCAAAAACAGAATACAGCAATAACGATCCGTGAGAAATGCCGGCCGGTTTCTTTCTGTTCTGTCACTCGCTCGCACCGCGATCGTTCGCTCGTGTAGCGGAGTGTGGATTTGTGGAGGTCGCTTTGCTTCACTACGCCGGCGCCACGACACAATGGACTCGCCCAACAGACCCTACTGCAGGTGCTAAACAATTTCAAAATTTACCACAATTTTCGTTTCAATTATCACCTAACGACCTGCAACACTTCTTCATTAA